GATGGAGCCTGCAAAGGAGAGTTCATAGCCTTGCTTTTTTCCGCTTCACATGGCTGCCTGTTTCGCTGTTTCCATCTCCACAGCCATCTCCACAACACAGCAGGCCGACTTCGACTCTTCTTCCTCCCTCTTCAGCATTCCTTATGATTGCCATGGACCTGCCTAGATAATATGATTTACTCTCCCTATTGAAGGTCAGCTGATGAGCAACCTTAATTTCATCCTCAATGTTAATTTTCCTTCGCCATGTGACAACATATTCACAGCTTCAGGGGATGGCTTGGGGTATGACATCTTCGTCCACCACAATCATGTTACAGTGGGGTTTAGCACCATGAGAGATGGTTCTGGTCTGAGGCTGTACACTGATTATATGCTGCAGCCTCTCCCTCCCATCCCAGATTAAATAAATAACAGAGACCTAAAAATAAACAAATAGGACCAGGCGTGGTGGCACATGCCTTTAATCCCAGCACTTGGGAGGCAGAGGCAGGCAGATCTTTGTGAGCTCGAAGCCAGCTTGGTCTACATAGTGAGTTCCAGGACAGCTGGAGCTATGGGGAGACCCTGTCTCAAAAAGACAAAAAAAAAAAGGCAAATAAATTTATAATCACCCTGGATAACACGAGGAGCCCTTAGTATACTAGATACTACAAAAAAATATCTGAAGGATGGATGACAAATGGAAAATGGTCAGAGAAGGAAAAAACACAGCAAAGACACAGCTTGACCACGCTTAGCAATAGTTGAAATATACCACAAGTTGAAAACAGACCAAGGATGTATCTCATGTAAGGCCCTGAGTTCAATCCTCAGCACAGAAAAGAAAAAAAAAATTAGAAAACTGCATTGTGCTGAGGAAGGGAGGTGCCCAGAGAAGCGCTATTTGCAGAAGCCATGAGGACCCTGATTATTCAAGACACACAGCAGGCATGCCAAATGCCAGTTACATCATACTCCCCTTCTCCAGAACTGTCAGCCTATGAGTAGAAGCTGTGCAAATGACATCATAGGTGGAAAGGACAGTGTTCCTGGTGACTACTGACACTTTGAAGAGGAAAGGGAAGCACCCACTTTCAGAAGCCCAAAGAAATCCGTTTCAGTAGTATATCCCATCTTTGCAAGATAACTGACAACAAACTATGACATACAACATCATGAATGATCTTATACCCATTCTCCAGGACATGGAGACAAAGCAAATTGAGAACCTGAGAGAAGAGAAGCTGCCATTCAGTAAGTATCGATCATTTGAAGAGAGTCAAAGTAGGTTCTGGATCTCATTTTGTTTTGTTTTTAAGACAGCGTCATGGGGCTGGAGAGATGGCTCCACGGTTAAGAGCACTGACTGCTCTTGCAGAGGAGCTGGGTTCGATTCTCAGCACCCACATGGTGACTACGAATCATCCTTAACTCTACTTCCAGGGGAATCCAAAGCCCTCTTCTGACCTCCGCAGCATTGCACAACACGGGTGCACTCATATACATGCAGGCAATACACTCATACACATAAAATTAAAATAATAAGTAAAATATTTTTTTTTAAATTTTGAGACAGGGACTCATTATGTAGCCTTGATTGTTCTGGAACTCACTCTGAAGACCACGCTGGCCTTGAATTCACAGAGATCCACCTGCCTGTGCCCCCAAGTATTGGGATTAAAAGCATGGGGTACCATGCCCAGCTAAGTTTTTTTTAAGTATCTATATGTGGATTGCCTCTGTGTTAGTATGTGCATGTGTGTGCACTGCCCACAGAGACCAGAAAAGGGTGTCAGATCCCCTAGAGGTGGAGTTATAGCAAATTGTGAGCTGTCCAACATGGATTCTAGGAACCAAACTTGGGTCCTCTGCAAGAGCTGTGTCCACTCCTATCTACTGAGCCATCTCTTCAGCCCTTTATGAGCTTTTAGTTGTAATGTGCCTAGCACGTGGTGCTATAGACAGTTGATGTATATGTAATAAAATTAGCAAAAGTTTATTTCTTGTGAGAAGAGAGTATGATTGTTAGGAAAAAAAAGTCTCAGAAGAGATGACATCAGAATTGTATCTTGAAGAAGTCATGGCTTCAAGATAAGAGACATGCTCAAGACATGGCAGCTTGAGAAAGTTACATGATTAAGCAATGACCAGGATTTGTGTCCATGAAGTTTGGGGGTGTTGTTGGGTTCTTTGTTTCTTCCTACTGTTATAATAAAAGGCTTTATATTGGGTGATTTATAAATAACAGAAATTGGACTGGGGATGTAGCTCAGTGGTAAAACATATGCCTAGTATGTGAGGAGCCCTGGGTTCAATCCCCAGCACCACATCAGACAAACAATAATAATGCATCTCTCACAATTCTGGAGGCTGGGAAGTGCAAGTCCAAGGCACCAACAGATTCGGTACCCAGTGGAGGGCACACTGTCTCCTGCACAGATGGCCCCTTGTTTCCCTATCTTCATAGGGATGGAAAGAAGAGCACACGCTTTGCTCCCTCACAGAATCCTCATAATCTACTCACCTCCCAAAGGCCTGCTCTTTTTGTGGTTTGTTGGGTTTTGGTTTAGGGAGCTTGTTTGCTTTTGGGGTGGGGACAGGGTTTCATGTACTCATATTAATTGTGTGTGTGTGTGTGTGTGTGTGTGTGTGTGTGTGTGTGTGTGAAGTCTATGTAATCCCAGCACTCGGGAAGACTGAGGGAAGAGGATCTTGAGTTCAAGACCAACTTGGACTATACAACAAGATGTCCAAAAAGAAAAAAAACAGGGAGGGGGTGCTGGGGACATGGTTTAGTAGATATGCTTGCTGCACAAACAGGAGGGCCTGAGTTTGTATCCATAGCATCAACATTAAAGCCTGATAGAGGTGTGTGCATGTACAACTCCAGCACTAGGGTGGAGGGGGACAGGAGGTTCTTGTGTGTTTTATATGTATGAAAGAGAAAGAAAGGGGAAGAGGGGGGAAGAGAAATAACTTCAGGCTAAAGAACAACACTTTAATAACATTGGACATTGTGAGAAATTATTATGTTGTAGTTGGTTTTCTTGCTTTGTTATAGATGTGTAAAAAGTTTTACTTGCAGCAGCTATCTCATGCAGAACCCTGTGGCCCTAAGTAAAGTGTCCCCAGTCCTCAGAGCTCTTCTACCTCTATGAAACAGAGACTGTCCAGACAGCACAGGGACCTAGAGGGTGTGGGCAGAAAGAATGAAGAGCTTATGGGTCTTGTAGGGAGACTAAAATTTCCAGGGAAGGCCTTGCTGTCAGGAAGCCCAGGAGAAAACAAGGGAACACAGGCAGCCTTGAGAAAATCCCCTGGATCCCTTCCACTGGTCGCACCCATGCAGCACACTCCCCAATCCACAGTTTGAGTGGGGAACACAGAGCCCTGAACACAGAGAAGTTCTGATGCTGGGTGGAGATGAAGGTGCTGGAAAGACTCAACTGTGAATAGAAGCACTCCCTACCCGTCTCCAGAGCAGTAACAGCCTCCTGGGGAGGGAGGGCTAGGTGTGTGTCTGGGGCCTGTGTCCAAGCATGCATTTGGGCCCCTGTGCTGCCAGGCACAGAAGCTCCTTCAGGTTCATTCAGACAGGGGTGGGGTGGGGGTGTTGACATGAGTGAGATGTGATGGAATTCCTCACTTCAGTACCCCTTTGCTGGAGCAGGCCCTTACCCACCCCCACCTGGCCAGCTAGAAGGGAGCCTTTGACAAGCCAGAGGCTCTGCTGGCACCAAAACACTGGAGCCATATAGCCGTAAGTGCTCACAAGTTCCATGCTGATATACTGAACATCCAGCCCACCCCTACACACACACACACACACACACACACATACACACACACACACACACACACACAGCTACCATCACCACCACCACCACAATAGGTCTAATCAGCTGAGAACCAGGACCCTGGGATAATGATACCTAACAAAAGGAGGGGGACTTTTTAATGCCCCCTTCTGGAGGCAGAATGGCAAAAGACTATTTGGCACTCATTCTAAGTGAGTGCCTTGCATTCTAAGTGAGGACACTAATTGCATGGCCTAATTCACTGAAGAATACGCTTTTTTTTTTTCCAGAAGTGGGCTCTCTTTCCACTCTTCTCACATTATGTACTGTGTTAAGAGCTGTGTAAAGACATACAAGGAACATTAAGGGATCTAGGGATTTCAGGAGCCTGAGTCTCAGTTCAGTGAGGCCTCACAGAGTTTATCTCAAGAGCCGATGATAAAAGGCAGGCGTGGTGGTTCATACCTGTAATCCCTAGCACTTGGAAAGCTGAGGCAAGAGATTGCCTCCAGTTCGAGATCAGTATGGGTTATATATAGTGATTTCCAGACCACCCTGGACTACAGAGTGAGACCTTGCCTAAAAAAAATTAAAATAAAAGTAAAAAATAAAGAGGTGGGAGGGAAGGGAAGGAAAACTGATTCTTGGCAGTCTCAAGTCCCTCCACAGATTGAAATTTTTGGGTCCTCATTCTGGGTGATCGGATCCAAACGTGACCCCTGGCCATTTTTCCTGACACTACCAGTTCAGACATCTGCCCTTTTCTTCTTAACCAGCTCCCATGAGACCCTAAGATCTGATTGGCTCTGGACAATTGTCCCCAGTAGGACTGCAAAGCCACAGTCTCTGACCAAGCTATGAATCCCCTGACCTTGAGCTAGACGCATGTCAGCTAGGGCAGAGAATGGCTGCAGAGGGGGCAGAGAATGGCAGCCTTGAAGGGCGCCACTATGACAGTAACCATTTATTTTAGGTGTGGCAGGGCAGGTAGACTGACATGTCAGGTTTAGCTTGTCAGAGACCAATTCTGTCTCCAGAGTAGGTGTCAAAGGAACCTTGGGACACTTTTCAGCTTCTCAACAGATACACACCAGATTTCATTTCTTGGACTACAGATCTCCAGTCAAGGGCAGCTAAGTGACCTGAAATCCCACAATGCCATACCCTCCAGACCCAGTCCTCCCCAACCCCACATCAGAGAAGCCTAAGAATATATGTAAGTCATATGCGCTGTGTTTTTTATTGTCACATGTTATCCATAGGGCAGGAGTGGAATGGGGTAGGAAGCCCTCAGGTAGAAGAAAGAGGGGGAGTAGGAACCATCTACTTTCCACACTTTGTCCTCCTCCCAGCTGATGATGATAGTGGCCTAGCCATTAGTGGTGGGATGAGGAAACAAGATGCCTTTAGATACAAGCACAGTGTTGAGTGAGAAGATTGGGCACCGTTTCATACTTGAAAGAATAACCTCCATCTGAGGTAGTACGGACATGTAGGGGCTTCATGGTTCCTGGGAGGGCAGCACAACAGGGCTGGGCCCCTGGAACCAAAGAGAGAGGCTGCAGAGGAGTGGGGGGAACCCCAGGGACTGGCAGGGGAAGATCTGGTGGAGTAGGCAGCCCACAGCCACCATGGCAGTAATGGAAGATGAAACTGGGAGGGTGCACAATCCAGCGGTCCCAGCCCAACTCCTGGAAGGAGATGTTGAGTGCAGCTCGGTGGCAGTAGGCGTGGGCAGCAGGTTCCTCTGGAGGCCTCTGCAGCAGGCGCAGGGCTGCAGGAGACCAAGGCCAGGGCACCGGGGGAGTTGAACGTCGGGCCCTCTCCCCACCACTGGGTGGTCTCACCCGAGTGTGTGCCACCAGGAATGGTGTGGTCTCAGGCCGTGCTGAGCAGGAACAGAGAGGACAGCGCAGCAGTAGTACCAGGATAGGGTGGGTCAGCAGAGGGAGAGCAGAGGTGGCCAGATGAAGCACAGCCCAACGAGGAGGGCTCTGACCCAATGACATGGGCACAGCCATGGGCCCCCCAGATGACAGCACCAGCAGGTCTAGCAGAGGCCCAGAGCTATTGGAGGCTACAGTGCTCTTCTTGTCTAGCCCTGTGTGGAACCACAGCTGGGCTGAAGTCACCTGGTGGCTGCGCATGTGTTGAGATGGCTGGAATATGTAAGTGAAGAGACCCTCCTCAGCCTCCTGGTCAAGTCTTCCAGTTGCTGGCTGGTTCTCACAGGTGGCACCTGCAGGGGGCAAAAGGGAAAAGAGAGGACAACCTTGATTGGTAGGGCCTGAAGCTCCTCCACTTCCATCCCCAGTGCTGATCAAGTGCCAAACACTGTTGAGTGCCATCCAGATCTAGGGAAAGCTGACATAGGCACCTTGGGGTTTTTTTGTTGTTGTTGTTGTTGTTGTTTTTTGTTTGTTTGTTTGTTTTGTCTTTTTGAAGCAGGGTCTCCTTGTAGCCCCAGCTGTCCTGGAACTCACCATGTAGACCAGGCTGGCCTTGAACTCACAGGGATCCGCCTGCCTCTGCTTCCCAAGTGCTGGGACTACAGGCGTGCACCACCATGCCCCACTCAGCACCTCAATTTTTCAAATCATCATCTAATACAAATAATATCCATCTCTCTCTTAAGTGGTTTTATCAATTGATATTCCAAACAGCAATGTGTAAGAAGAGTCCTTTCCACTCTCTACCTTCACTCACACTTAGACTTGTTAGCTTAAATTACTGTTCAGCAGGTAGTAGAAAGTGATGATTTTGAATGCTGTGTGCATGGGTGTTACATTACTTTTGATATCTTTTAGCATGTCAGAAATTAAATTCCTTTAAATGATTGTGTTTTTAGAAGACAACTTATGGGCTGGGGAGATGGCTCAGTTGGTAAAGTGCTTATTGCTCAAGCATTATGACCTGAGTTCAATCCCCAGCATCCACATAAAAAACCACGTGTACTTTGTTAATCTCAATAGTGGGGAAGTAAAGACACTGGGGGCTTGCTAGTCGGTTAGTCTATCTAGCCGATTGGTAAGCTCCAGGTTCAGTGAGAGATCCTGTCTCAAAAAATAAGTTGGAGAGCAACTGAGGAGGGAAGGAATGGAATAAAAAGAAGGAAGAGAAATATTACTCAGAATAAAGATTAGTCCTTCCCAAGAAAGTACAGCTGGCATCATTGTCCTGACATAACATAGATGACAGTGAATATATCAGAACCCTTGTCAAAACAACAGCAGCAAATAAAAAAAAAAAAAAACAGGCAATGGAGACCATACTATTACACAGCTTCTCTCATTAAAAATTCCTAACAATTAATCTTTTTTTTTTCGGACAAGAAACTGAAACCACAGAGATGATCTGACATTCAGCAACTAAATGACCAGACAGGGATTCTGCTTGATATGAAAACCATACTTTTCCCTACTATGGTGTTGGAGCTTGCAGGGAGGGAGGCAAGGGAACCTCTATAAAGAAAAGTGGACCAGATGAGGAAAGAACCCAGCAGGAGAGCTTTACTCATCAAGCCACTGGGACATGGGGAAACAACAAGGCATGCGACAGGAGTAGACTAAAGAAGCAATCTGCTGCATCCCTGACATTCTCTCAAGACCCAGCTACTGGAGCTAAACAGGGCATGGGGCAGAGAGCAGAGGCAGAGCTAGGACAGAGAGCAGGCAGAGGCCTGAGCCTAGATACCTCTGTCTCCAGAGACCCTTACTCTCCCAGATACTTCTCACATACCAGTCATTCTAGGCCCACTCAAGCCTGAGAGGTACTACTACCCATTTGGTGATGAGCAAGGAGGCTTAGGAACTGGCCCACTGTTGCCAGCCAGCTAAGTGTAGAGTTGTGATCCATATCCAGGTGAGCCTGGCCCCCAAGCCCATGAGGTAGGTACCAGCTACTTCTCAAAGTCACCCTGCCAGTCCACAATTAAGATTGAGTTACCTGTGGCTGGGAAAATGATGGCCTGTGAGACATCCTCCTCCTCGGGCTCAGAGGTCCTCTGGGTGAAGCGTCCAAGGGCATGTCTTCGGGGCAGCCGCCTGACCCCAGGACCCCCACTTTCCCCAGCCACTGGTGGAGGCCCTAGGGCATCCAGGAACAGGGCCCTCACCTTGGCCAGGACAAGCTCTCGGTCCAGCTCTGGCCCGTGGCAGCTGTGCCCATCCTGTGGGGCCAACAAGAAGAGGAGCAGCAGGGACAGCTGGGTCACCATAGCTCACTTAGCCCTGACAACAGGAAACCCACGCCCTCCCTTGTGCCCCTTCTGTCCAGGTCTGGCCAGGGCCTCCCCACTCTCCTTCTCCCCATCCCACCACCCGCCTTCTTCTACCCTCCTCACCCCAGTCTCCCCCAGTCCTTCCCACACCCTGCAGTCCGAGTTACCCCTGCCCATGGCATTGAGACCTATCTCTGACGCAGTTGTCTGTGGCCCTGAGCCTTATCTCCCACTCCCGCCAAGAATGTGGGGGAAGGGGCTAGGGAGGGTGTTCACCCTAAGTGACCTATTCCTCTTACACGCACACACACACACACACACACACACACACAGTCTCCCATCCCATCCCAGCACCCAACAGAGGGGACATCAGGTACCACAGGTGCCTGGGTACTGGGATGGGAGACTGTGTGAGGGTTGGGAAGTTTCAGCTCCTGAAAGTGTCATTTGTCAGGAAGACAGAATGCACCAGATCCTTCAGACTTTCTGGAGTGCCTTTCAATCACAGCAGCTGTTGGCTAACATGGAAGACCTCGGGCTGGGGCTAGAAATGGGGCTCCAGGAAGAGGGCAGGTGGTCCCGCCAGCTCTATACTTAGCCTGGAGGAGCCAGTCTGGCCTCTTGTCCTCCAGCTGTGTCATCAGAGAATATTTTTGGGATTGGCAGCTGCTGGCGCCTCTGCCACTCAGGCCCAAGCCCGGCCGGCGGCTGGGGACCCGGCGGCTGGAGGTGGGAGGGAGGAGGGGAAAGAGGCCCAGGCTGTGGGAGGGGGCTGAGAAGAGAGGCTTCTGAGAGCAGGAAGCCAGGCCGCGGGCAGACGAGGCTGCGGGGCCCCTTGCTGGAAAGGCAAGCAGGAAGGACTGCCCCCTGGGCTCTGGGCTCTTAGCTCCCGGCCCGCACTCCGCCCCGCCGCAGAGCTGCAGCTCCGGCCGGGAGTAAGGAGGCGAGCCAGGCACAGCGGCCAGAGCTGCTCCGCGGGTCCCACGCCTGCTCGGGCCTCCTGCCGCGCCCTCGGCCTCGGCGCCTGCCCTTCCCCGCACCCAGCCGGGCCCTCTGCAGCAGCCGCGATGAAGGCGGGCTCGGGGGATCAGGGGAGCCCCCCGTGCTTCCTGCGCTTCCCGCGGCCCGTGCGGGTGGTAAGTGGCGCAGAGGCCGAGCTCAAGTGCGTGGTCCTGGGGGAGCCACCGCCCACTGTCGCGTGGGAGAAAGGCGGGCAGCAGCTTGTGGCCTCGGAGCGCCTGAGCTTCCCGGAGGACGGCGCCGAGCACAGCCTGCTGCTGAGCTGCGCGCTGCCCACCGACGCCGGAGTCTACGTGTGCCGCGCCCGCAACGCGGCCGGCGAGGCCTACGCAGCGGCCGCCATCACCGTCCTGGAACCCCCGGCCCCGGAGCCCGAGCCCGAGCCCCAGCCCGCTGCGCACCCGCTGCGGCCGCCGGGGAGCGGGGAGGGTGCCCCGGTGTTCCTGACCGGGCCCCAGTCCCAGTGGGTGCTGCGGGGGGTGGAGGTGGTGCTGACGTGCCAGGTGGGAGGCCTCCCCCAGCCCACGCTGTACTGGGAGAAGGATGGGATGGCGCTGGACGAGGTGTGGGACAGCAGCCACTTTGCGCTCGAGCCCGGCCGCGCCGCGAGTGTTCCGGGGGGTACGAGCTTGGCGCTGCGCATCCTAGCGGCGCGGCTGCCGGACTCGGGCGTCTACGTGTGCCACGCCCGCAACGCGCATGGCCACGCGCAGGCCGGCGCGCTGCTCCAGGTGCAGCAGCCCCCCGAGAGCCCGCCCGAGGACCCCGACGAGCCCACCACACCGGTGGTCGAGCCGCTTAAGTGCGCACCCAAGACGTTCTGGGTGAACGAGGGCAAGCACGCCAAGTTCCGCTGCTACGTGATGGGCAAGCCCGAGCCCGAGATCGAATGGCACTGGGAGGGCCGCCCTCTTGCACCGGATCGCCGCCGCCTCATGTACCGCGACCGCGACGGTGGCTTTGTGCTGAAGGTGCTCTACTGCCAGGCCAAAGACCGCGGGCTCTATGTGTGCGCTGCGCGCAACTCTGCGGGCCAGACGCTCAGCGCCGTTCAGCTGCACGTGAAAGGTAGCGCCCTGGGCCTCCGGCGCCCTCAGAGGCCCTTCTTGGCTGCTGCTCTCCTTGGTGCCGGGGGTAGGGGGAGGGGTGGGGGTGTGTGTATTAAAATACCCATTTTCTGCCAGCTTCCCAACCCCCAGGGATGCAGATTTAGTAGTCCCCAGGAATTTCTTAGCAGACTCCCCAGATGATTCGAAATCAGATGGTGGAAATCCACCAAACTAAAGGATAGTTGATGATGTGCAAACCTTTTCAAGTCCTAGAACTTTCGCATCCAGTGTTTTCAGCCTTTGTCGTTTTGGTCCTCCTTTCCCAACTGGATTCCCATCGATACTCCCAGTCTAAAAGTAGTAATTTTATAAGCATAAAGAAATCTAAATTTATAACATGCACTTAGAAGACTAATCAGAACAAGGGGGCTGTTGTATTGAAAACACACATTTGGAGTGGAGGCTGTGTTCACAGTGTTGGATCTCAGAATCTGTCAAGAAGGCCCATGCAAAGAGGGAAGATGAAGGCAGAGGAGATAAATTTTATATTATATGTTGTCAGTATTCATAAACAGTAAATTCAGAGAAAACAAAACACCCCAAACTCACACCAAAAGCTGAAGTTCTCAATAGGATTTCATCACAATTTGAGGGATTATACTTTCACTAGTTGTTGTCTAACTTTCTCCCTGTGAGGAAAGCAGGTTGGCAAGTTCTCTTGAGTCCTGCCTGGCACTCAGCCAAGTGTATGGCACCTGGGGTGTGTCAGTGGCCTCATGAGTACATCTGGATGTGCGCAAACTTGCCAGGCCAGTGTGAAAATGGAATGCCCTCAAGAAAGAAAAGTTCAGTGGGTCAGCAAAGAGGAAGTTTCTGGAGTGGCACAAAAACTTGTTTCCCCAGCAAGTTAACTCTCTTGTCATTTTCCAACCCTGTGTTTCCCATTTTTGAAATACAGTTTAGCACACACCTTTAATCCCAGCACTTGGGAGACAGAGGCAGGTGGTGAGTTAAAGGCCAGCCTGCTCTACATAGTGAGTTCCAGGACAGCTGGGGCTACAGGGAGATCCTGTCTCAAAAAGACCAAAACAAAGGTTATAGAATGCTTTAAAAAAATGAAATTCAGTGTCAGACACTTGCAGGATTAGGCAACAGTTGGAAAATCATTAATCTGGTTCCTCCCTTTCTCCCATTTAACAAGTAAGGAAACTAAAGTACAGGAATATTGAATGTACTTGGCTCAAGGTGATGTGGCTGGGTAGTGTCAAGGTGAGGTGAGAAATTAGGCCATCTGACTTTCACCCTGGGAATTTGGCTACCATTCCCAGACTGCAGGCTCTGGAGAAGAACTATCAGTGTAGGCTAATGTATGGTAAGGAGTCCTCCTGGGCTTGTCCCCCACCTGAGACTCTTCTTGCTATCCTCAATCTGTAGAGCCCCGCCTCCGCTTCACAAGACCCCTGCAAGATGTGGAGGGCCGGGAGCATGGCATTGCAGTACTGGAGTGCAAAGTGCCCAACTCTCGAATCCCCACTGCCTGGTTCCGAGAGGACCAACGGCTGCTGCCCTGCCGAAAGTACGAGCAGATTGAGGAAGGCACCGTGAGGCGCCTCATCATCCACAGGCTGAAGGCAGATGATGATGGTGTCTATCTGTGTGAAATGCGGGGTCGAGTTCGCACTGTGGCCAATGTGACGGTCAAAGGTCGGCTGGTCAATGGGAGGAGGCTGAGGCTGGTGGTGTCTACATCTTTTGCTGATGGATTTCCACCCACAACTCAGGGCCCATTCTGAAGCGCCTGCCTCGGAAGCTTGATGTCCTGGAGGGAGAGAATGCAGCGCTGTTGGTGGAGACTCGAGAAACTGGGGTTAAGGGGTGCTGGAGCCGTGATGGGGAGGAGCTACCAGCCACCTGCCAGAGCAGCTGTGGCCACATGCATGCCCTGGTCCTTCCAGGGGTGACCCGAGAAGATGCTGGCGAAGTCACCTTCAGCCTGGGCAACTCTCGTACCACTACTCTGCTCAGAGTCAAATGTGAGGGCATGAAGGCCTTTGAACAGGAGGGCCAGGGCAGGAGGGTGATCAGATCTCAGGGCCGGGGTTGACAAAGTGAATTTAAAGTGGAAGGGCTGTAGGGGGCTTGAGCAAGTCTTGGATGTAAACCCTGCCTTTGTCTCAGGTGTCAAGCACAGTCCTCCCGGCCCTCCTGTATTGGTTGAGATGTTCAAGGGCCAAAAGAATACGGTCCTGCTGACCTGGAAACCTCCTGAGCCACCTCCTGAGACCTCCTTCATCTACCGCCTAGAGCGGCAGGAAGTGGGCTCTGAAGACTGGATCCAGTGCTTCAGCATCGAGAAAGCTGGAGCTGTAGAGGTGCCTGGGGACTGTGTGCCTGCTGAGGGTGACTACCGCTTCCGCATCTGCACAGTCAGTGAACATGGTCGCAGTCCCCATGTGGTGTTCCATGGTTCTGCTCACCTTGGTGAGTCAGTCCTGCAGACCTTGCCCATCAGTGTCTCTGCCCCTAAGTCATGCCCTCCCATCACCTCTCTTCCCTGCTCTGACCCTCAGTCCTTGTGTTTTCCCATCTGCCAGCCCCTGCCCTCTGCTGTCCTTTCTGGTTCTGACAGCCATACCCTGTCTCTGCCCCAGTACCCACAGCTCGCCTGGTGTCAGGTCTGGAGGATGTGCAGGTGTATGATGGGGAAGATGCCGTCTTCTCCCTCGATCTATCCACCATTATCCAGGGCACCTGGTTCCTTAATGGAGAAGAGCTTAAGAGTAATGAGCCAGAGGGCCGGGTGGAGCCTGGAGCCCTGCAGTACCGTATGGAGCAGAAGGGCCTGCAGCACAGACTCATCCTGCAAGCTGTCAAGCACCAGGACAGTGGGGCCTTGGTGGGCTTCAGCTGCCCTGGTGTGCAAGACTCAGCTGCCCTCACCATCCAAGGTTGGTACTGATGGAAATCTGAGGGGACAGATAGGATCAAAACGCAGAAGTTGTGTTTCCTAAACAAGGCAGATGCTGTTCCCATTTCCCATGTCTGGGATAGAAGAGTAAGGAGCATCCCAGAAGGGTTCAGATTAAAGGTTCAGAGATCTAGAAGACCAGCTTCAACTCACAGTAGACAGATCTCCCCTTACTTTCATCAGCACCACATCCTTGTTCTTTGGATTACTTTGCTTTACAATAATTCTGTCGTATTGGGCTGTAGATACAGCTCAGGTAGAGCACTTGCCTAGCATGTACAAAGCCTTGGGTTCAATTCTCAGTACTGAAAAAAAAAAGCCATTACAGTTTGTCTTCTCATTTGAGAGATGTGGCTCCTATGCCCTCCTTCCCTGCCTGCTTTCGGGTCCTCTTGTCTTAACTGCCAACACTCTCGTAGCGTTTTACCAGGAGTCAGACTAATCATTTGATGTAAACTAATTAGTACAGTCTCATCCATAACCCTATAAAACCAGGTTCTTTTAGCCTCCGCAGTTTACAGGTGGGAAGGCAGGCACAGAGGCTAAATGACTTGCCCATAGTTAGCAAGTTAATGAACAGTGGTGCTAGATTAAGAATTGAGGTAACCTGTCTCCAGCCACCACCACCACCACCACCACCCCCACCTAGGTTGAAACAAGGAAAGAGAGTATGTGGTATCTCTACAGATGGTTGGGAGAGAGCACTGAAAATTCAAGGACCATCCTAGCACTTACCATCTTTCCTTTGCTAGAATTTATAAGACCAAGAAATCATCCACTCCTGAGCATGAGGTCTTAAGGTGGTAGCTTCCAGAAATCACCAAGAGTCAAGTGACCTTGCTTTATTACCCCTCATGGGGCCTAGTGAGAACAACATTAATCTTTTCCAAGGATGAGCCCAGTGACCTCCTTACCTCCCTACTTGGCTTTAAATCTTAGAGGACCTAACAGACATTGGGTACCATATTTCTATCACATGAACCTTTCAGGGACACACTCAGTAATACCCAAACCATAGCAAAACCAATCCTATTTTGGTTTTTTGAAGTACTGAGAATTGAACCCAAGACCTTATGTGCATACTAAACGAATGCTCTGTCACTGAGCTTCACCCCTGCTCTGCCCCGAGACTCAAACCTTTTTTTTTCTTTTATGTATATGAGAGTATTGCCTGAATGTATGTAAGTGTACCTGTGCTGTGCAGTGCCTGCAGAGATCAGAAGAGGGCATTGGATCCCCTGGAATAGGAGCTATGGACAGTTGTTAGCTGCCGCTTGGGTACTGGGATATAAAACCGGGTCCTCTACAAGAGCAGCCAGTGCTCTTAACCTCTGAGCCATCTCGCCAGCCCTCAAAACCTGGTGTTAAAAACACCAATATATGCACTGACAGCAGTTGTTGGCTCTGTGTATTCACCCCATGCTGAGTATACCTGACAGAGAGAGGGATACTTAACCTGAGCAGTGTTGGTCACAGACACTGCATATGACCAGGTTTCTCTATGCAGAGAGCCCAGTGCACATCCTGAGCCCCCAGGACAAGGTGTCACTGAACTTCACGACCTCTGATCGGGTGGTGCTAACCTGTGAGCTCTCACGAGTCGACTTCCCAGCGACTTGGTACAAGGATGGGCAGAAAGTGGAGGAGAGTGAGTCACTGGTGGTAAAGATGGATGGGCGCAAACACCGGCTAATCTTGCCTGAGGCTGAAGTTCAAGACAGCGGAGAGTTTGAATGCAGAACAGAAGGGGTCTCAGCCTTCTTCAGCGTCACTGTTCAAGGTCAGGAACCCTGCTGGCCTATCTTCTCCAGTTGAGGTTGATTTTGAGAACTGCAGACCCTGCCCCATAGGTCTGTGTGCTTGGAGGGTTCCTTTATGAGAACTTAGTAGGCAGGTCCATGTTTTAGGTTACTCAGTAGTTGCTTTTATCTGTGTTACATATTTAGTGGTACTAGGATGATGCCTAAGGTCTTGTGAATGCTAGGCAAGCACTCTACCACTGAGCTACATCCCTGGTCCTGTACTTGCTTCTTTACACTTTCATGTATCAACATCATCTAGACCACTTGTCCACCAATACATACACAGCCTCTGCTAGATTGCGTGAGGAAGCTCAGTACAATTAAGGGAAGGAGAAAGAGTTGATGTTTATTGGGCATCTACTTTGAGTCTAGTGCCATGCTAGGTAATTTACACCTACACTGA